TTTTTAATTAAGATGAGTTCTTTCTTTCTTTCTATTTATATTTATATTATAAATATATTCTATTTATATTTCTTTCTATTTATATATGTTAGCGGAATGCATTACAATTCTTATTACACATATAGAGCACAATTTTCATATCTCTGGTTGTATGTACAATGTATTCACACCAATTCTTGTCTTCATATCTATACTTTGGATAATAATGATCATCACATTCCACCATCATTAATTACCCCATGCCTGCCCGCTCCTTCCTTCCCCTCCAATCCCTCTGCCCTATCTAGAGTATGTCTATTCCTCCTATGCTCCCACTCCCTATCCCACTATGAATCAGCCTCCATCCATTTACCTTCAAATGCCATGATTTTATKCTCTTTTATGGCTGAGTAATATTTTTTTCACTTCAGACATCTAGTTTTATGCTTTCATGTAATTGGTRTAATAAATAAATTATTTTCTTGAAGAAACAAAATCCAGATGCTTCAAAGTAGTGAATGAGGGTAAATCTCCTCTTGGTAGGGGAGATTGTACTATATAGTCTCAACCCTTAGCTCTGAATACTATCCTTGGAGATTTTTTTAATGATTGTATTACCGCTGGCTTTGGAAGGCAAAGATTGGTTGTCTGCTTTCATTTCTTTGCCCCTTATATGAGTACATGGCTCTTTCTTGAACACCATTTAGTTCAACTGAGACCCTTAGTGTCCTAGTTAAGTTTTACTGAAGGTTAGAATCAGCCTCCTTATATCAGAGAAAACAATTCAGCATTTGGTTTTTTTGGATTGGCGTGCTTCACCTAGCATTATATTCTCCAACTCCATCCATTTACCTGCAAATGTCATGATTTTATTCCCTTTTATTGCTGAGTAATATCCCATTGTGCATCTATGCCACATTTTTTTAATCCATTCATCCACTGATGGGAATGGAATCTAGGTTGGTTCCACAGCTTAGCTATTGTGAATTGTGCTGCTATAAACATTGAWATGGCTGTGTCCCTATAGTATGCTATTTTTAAGTCCTTTGGGTATAGACCGAGGAGTGGGATAGCTGGGTCAAATGGTGGTTCCATTTCAAGTTTTCCAAGGAATCTCCATACTGCTTTCCATATGGGCTGCACCAATTTGCAGTCCCACCAACAGTGTATGAGTGTACTTTTTCTTCTACATCCTCACCAACACTTATTGTTGTTTGTCTTCATAATAGCTGCCATTCTGACTGGAGTGAGATGAAATCTTAGAGTAGTTTTGATTTACATTTCTGTAATTGCTAGTGATGATGAACATTTTTTCATGTATTTGTTGATTGTATATCCTCTTCTGAGAAGTGTCTGTTCAGGTCCTTGGCCCATTCATTGATTGGATTATTTGCTTTTTGGTGTTTAGCTTTTTGAGTTTTTATATAGCCTAGAGATTAGTGCTATATCTKATGTGTGAGGGATAAAGATTTGCTCCCAAGATGTAGGTTCTCTATTCACCTCTCATATTGTTTCCTTTGCTGTGAAACTTTTTAGTTTGAGTTCATCCCATTTATTGATTCTTGATTTTAATTCTTGCACCACAGGAGTCTTATTAAGGAAGTTGGGAGCTAATCCCCCATGATGAAGATTAGGGCCTACTTCTATTAGGAATTAAACCAGGGACCTTATGTCTAAGTCTTTGATCCATTTTGAATTGAGTTTTGTGCATGGTGAGAGAGATGGGTTTAATCTCATTTTGCTGCATATGGATTTCCAGTTTTCCCAGCATCATTTGTTGAAGAGGCTGTCTTTTCTCCCAATGCATGTTCTTGGCACCTTTGTCTAATATAAGATGAGTTCTTGAAGGGAATCTAGAAAGTAGATTTATTGGTTTAAAAAAAAATTAGATAAACAGCACTTAAGGCCCACACAAGATTGGATCACATTATTTCTTTCTGTGTATTTACTTTCTGTAACTGTGATGAAGACTTATTCTGCGAGAGAAAAACTTAATGTGAATAACAACAACAATAATAATAAAAATTACCCTTTGATGTACTCTTTTTTTATGAGCCATAGAGCATATTAATATGTTTATTGTATTTTCTCATTTCATTTTAATTTTCATAAAAACATTATGTGGTATATATACTATATCTCCTTTTTAGAAAGGARGTAACTTGGGTGGATATAGGTCAGTGGTAGAGCATGTGCTCAGCATGCTTAAGACCCTGGATTCAGTCTCCATCACTCAAAAGTGGAAAAAAAATTCTTAAATAAAAAATGAGGTAACTGAAGCTGAAAGAAAGTGAAATAAGTTGTCCAGATACTTATAGCTAAATTTTTTAAAACTTTGAATAACATTCAAAACAATTTAACTCTACAACTGATATGTTGGTTCTAATAATGACTTATATTAAAAATAACTTATAGGAAAATGTTCTCTCATTAACCTATTCAGTTTTAATAAATTAAAATAGATAAAAAATAGACTTCTCTAAAATATGGCCTTGCTGTTAACTCCTAGGAGTGATTTCAGTATTGGATCATACCTCTTTGAAAGGAAAAACTTGCCTTTTAAAAGTAAAATAATAGTTAGCTGGGCATGGTGGCTCATGCCTGTAATCCAGCAGCTCAGGAGGCTGTGGCAAGAGAATCACAAGTTCAAAATCAGCCTCAGAAACCTAAAGAGGCCTTAAGCGACTTATCAACACCCTGTCTCAAAAAATAAAGGGCTGGGGATGTGGTTCATTGGTGAAGTACCCTGAGTTCAATCCCTGGTACCAAAAGGAAAAAAGAAAAAGATTTATTAATGATCCTTCATTTACCTGGAGTTCAGATTTTAATAACCTTTGTTAATCTGAAATAGTACAAAACTTGGCAGTTAAAACAACCCACACAAAATGGAGAGCTTCTAATCAGTTGGAAGGACTGAAAAAAACCAACATCCCATGATTATGTGTGCTCATATGTGATTAACAGAGATGATATCCCATCAGAGAGTGTTAGCAGAAATTTGTGAACAAAGGCAGAAAAGGTTGTAAAACAACAGAGAAGACAGTTGGATAACCAAAAAGAAGAAATCTAGGGCATCTGCATGCAGACAGCATGGATGACCTATTTCAGTAAGTCTTTTTGAGGCATTGTTATTTAAACAACTAAGATTAAATCAGAGAACATATAGTAAAAGTAGTCTTGTTAGTTATGTTTACTTCTGAACTTATTGGGTCCTCTGGCAAAAGCACATTTTGTTGATAGGAAATTCAAGTACAGATTGAATTTAAGAGAATATCTGATGATGAATCATATGGAAGAATTGTAAAGTCATGGGTTTTCAGTCAGATGATTTAGATTTGAATCCTACTGACTCAGTGTTTTGTCATTAAGTCACTAAAGATCTCTGGGCCTCATATTTTTAATAAGAATTATATTGTCAGCAGTCTGTGAGTTTRTCTAGTTTTGGTTTATTTATTCTTAGACCACAGGTTAGACTGTCACATCACCAGCACTCTCACCATTAATCCTAAGAAAGCCCCAGTAAATGAAAGGGTTTTCTGTTATCAGTGATCCTTCTTACCCAAAGTAAAAATGGACCATAATATCACAGATGAAATCAGTAGACCAAATGATCTGTGATTAATTTTTCCAATTGGAGTTGTTTCAATAAAAACAAAAATTTACATTCGACCTTCATATTCTCATATAAATAGAGCAGTCTTTGTTTATTTTGTGTTAATTTGTAAGTTGTAAAAACTGAAAGAGATTAAGGTCAGGAAGTAACTTAACCACAGGAAATTGCATTAGGTAAGACATGAAAAAGAAGCTAGGCCAGGTATCAGTGTTAGCTTTACCAAAAGTTCAGTGAGTAATCCATTATAGTACTACTCAGTTTCCCTGGAGAACATGGAAACATCTGTAAAAATGCTTCAGAACCCTGCTAAGTTTCTATAAAAGCATTAAATAGAACACTCACTGGTAAATGTGAGTCYAGGAATTTATCTTTGAGGCAATAGTTTTTGTACACATTTTATTCCTAATTGATCTGAAGTATGAAAGTATGAATATGAGATGTAAAATTTGAAGTTGGCATATTTCAGGTTGTAACATAAAAAGTTATTACACAAAAATTTGAGGTTTAGCTTGTACAAGTTGGGATTTCCTGGAATAATGTACAATGTGTGTTGTACAGTAGATGTGTATTTAATTAGCACAATTTATCAGTGCGCTAAAGTGACATCAGTGTAAGGCACTTTTATGTTTTCTTTTTAGAAAGAAAATGTGCTAAAAATTTAATCATGACACCGTGCATTAGGAATAGTCTTGATTAAGATGTGAAATTGTTCACACCTAGGGTCTTATTTGTTCCTAAGTATTTGGTAATGTCTCTTGGCTCTGGCTGCATTGCTTAGAACATGATAGGCAGTTCTTTTGAAGATTTGTTAGTAGCAAAACAGCTTTGATTACTTTATRTGTCTTCTTCCAGGAGTTCACATAAAGCATTTGGATATAGCTTTGCAAAAAATAAATTGGAATTATTACTCCAGAGACAAATACATCTGTGACTTTATTTTTGTGCTTTTCTAGATATGCAGTAACTTTTTAAAATTCCAAGTTGAACTGTGATGTTTTCAAAGTTATTTTAAATATCCAACATCCTTTAGACTCAACACATAGTTTCAACATGAACTATGAAATGACAACTGTTACACTCTTGAAATGACAAAGATGTGAACAATCTTGGCCAAATTTGTATATATGTAGGCAATAAAAACTACATTCTTACTGCCACCTGACTGCAATTTATAGGCTGCTACCCTGGTAAAAGCAAATAAAAAAACCCAAAAGTCATAATTACAGGGATATAAAAATTTGAAAAAAAGTGTGAATCTTATAATGAAATAAGGTAAATCTTAATTGAGGGTGGTGGTGGTCTCCACTCTAACCTAGAACTATGGATGAATTCATTGATGCCCAAGACTGTAATGTTTGTTTTGTTAATGACTCAAAACCACTGAAGATTCATAATCTTTTTTCTTTAGCTTAAAACCAGAGATAGATATATCAATAGCCTGAAAAAGAAATGCCAGAAGGAATCTGAACAAAACAAAGAAAAGCAGAGAAGAATTGAGACCTTGGAAAAGTATCTGGCTGATCTTCCAACTCTAGATGATGTACAAAGTCAGAGTTTACAGGTAATATGAAATAATAGTCTCATCTTTTAAATTCCATGAAAGCACAATTCTTTAGAAATTTCACTAATTATAAATTACTATTTAATTGCTGTTTTAGGATTTAGTTGAATCAGAAACTTTGTTCATCCAAGCATGAATAGAACTCTCATTGTTAAATAATATGTGGTTACATTCCTCATTAACCTATGTGATAACCCTCTCACTTAAATGTTCTACTGTAAAAGGTTGTTTCTAAACCAGTCTGATAAACCCGCCCCATAGATACTCATGCATGTACASGAATACTGAATTTCTCCAATAATCTCTGCGATTCAAGACTCTTCAAGTGTTCTTTTGAGTATCTTTCTAGATGTTTGTTTTCTTCATTCTTCTTAGCCTTTCCATAAATTATTCCTTAGACCTTCATCTGTCTTCTGTTCACTCCCCTTATTTCTGTTTTCCTTTTATAACAGTACCTCAATCCAAAGTCTTCCTGTCAATTCTGGCGAAGCCTGCCTGCCTAAATCTTACTTATAAATCCATAAAATCTACTCTTCAATTTTTTTCTCAAAGGCTTTCTAAGCAGGGTTCCTCAGTTTGGTACTATTGACAATTAGGAGTAGAAAATATTTTCTTATAATGGTCTGTCCTGTGCATGGATGGATGTACACTTTTGCATTTGACCTTCTGGCCTCTACCTACTAAGCGCTAATAACACTGTTCCCTCCCCTCTCTCCAAATTCAAAAATGTTAACAGACATTTCCAAATGTTCCCTGAAGATAAACATCACTCCCAGTTGAGAATCATTGGTCTAATCCATGGAGTGCCATTATTCTGCATATTCTCATATCTATAGAGCAGTCTTTATTTTGTATTAATTTATAAGTTGTAAAACTGAAAGAGATTAAGGTCAGGAAGTAACTTAACCACAGGAAGTTACATGAGCAGAAACAGAACACTATAAATTAAATGACATGAGATGACACTATCTTACAACATTAGGATAGCTACTATCAAGGGTCTTGAACAGATTACAGTGTTATTCATAATGGTCAAAAGATGGAACCAATGCAAGTGTCCATGGGTGGATGAGCAGGTAAGCAAAAGATTGTTTATAAATCATGTATACATAGAGTGAAAAATTACTCATCCCTATAAAGGAAGGAAATTCTGGCATATACTACAAACTGGATTAATCAGAAGATATTTTATTGAATGAAATAAATCATTCACAAAAAGATAAATCCTGTTCTAACATATATGGGGTCCAAGAAGAGTCAAATCATAGAAAGTAGAGAGCTGATTTCCAGGGGATAGAGTAAGGTATGGATTGGGGGAGTTGTTTATTGGGTATAGAGCTTAAATTATGCAAGGTGAGTTCTGGAGATTGGTTGAACAACAGTGTGAATGTACTTAACACACTTAGAAATGGTTAAGCTGGTAAATTTTGTTATGTTATCTTACCACAATTCTAAGTAAAAATCCTTCTGTCTTCTAGAAATGCCTAATCCCATTCTCTTCTCCACAGTCCCATTCTCTTAACTCTYTTCCACTCAAAGGAGAGATAGTGTTAAGAACTCTAAATGAATTGTAGATAGCATAATTTTAGCAATGTATTAATCCTTGAGAACCAGTAGTAATTTCTAATAGAAACATTTAATATTTCATATGTTATGAGCTATAAAAATTCTCCTTAGCTTCAGGTCCTAGAAGAAAAAAATAAGAATTTACAAGAGACTTTGCTAGATGCAGAAAAAAAGCTCGAGGAGATCAAAAAACAATGTCAAGAAAAAGAAGCCCAGTTAATTTGCCAGAAAAAGAAAGAAAAGGAGTTAGTATCTTCCGTTCAGAGGTAAGAAAACTTTCCAAATCTTTTTATATTGTTTTAAGTTATTCATAGTTCATCAAGCATTTTCATTTAAAGTATATTCATTTATAATTATTACTTTATTCTTCTTCTTGTAAATGGACTGTTAAGAAATATAATTTCAGCCAGGCGCAGTGACACACACACCTGTAATCCCAGCGACTTGGGAGGCTGAGACAGGAGAATTGTGAGTTCAAAGCCAGCCTTAGCAACTTCGAGGCACTAAGCAACTCAGTAAGACCCTGTCTCCAAGTAAACTATAAAATAGGGCTGGGGATGTAGCTCGGTGCCCTGAATTCAATCCCCAGTACCAAAAAATAAAAATAATAAGGTATAATTTCACTGGAACAGATTGTTTCAGATGTGATTTAACATTTTGAAGCAATATACCAACATCTTGCCAAAGGTTTAGATGAGATTAGTAAATAATGAACAAACAAAAACAAAACACAATTGAAGACTGAGAATATTAATGAAAGTCCTCTGTTGGCTTTGTCAAAACTTAAGTAAAAATTCTAAATAACAAAACAATGGGGGCCAGCAAAATACTTACACTGCATTCTTTAATAGGCTATGTCAAAAAGGAAGTAATGGACTCCTATTTCACCTTAATGCAAGTAACAGAAATAGCAGTTTTGACATGTACCTTCCAATTCAACTCAAATATCTTGCCTTATATGACTCTTTTAAATTAATACAGCTAGAAATACAGTGAATATCATTTGTATCATATTGAAATAGAGTGACTATCATATTCAGAATGTGTGGTTAAGCTTGGAAATTAATATTGGGTTCCTAGAACACCTAGAGAACTACTATATGCCTAAAGAATAATTTTCTTTCTTATTTAACTTAAACCTTAATGTTTTAGTCAGATTTATCACCTCTGTGACTAAAAGATCTGACCAGAACARTTATAATGGAGGAAAGGTTTATGTAAGGGCTTATGGTTTTCAGAGGTCTCAAACCATAGACGGGCCGGCATCATTCCTCAGGGCTCCTGGGGTAAGGAGGAACAACATGGTGGAAGAGTGTGGCAGAGGGAAGTAGTTCATAGTTGATCTGAAAGCAGAGAAAAAAACTCTACTCTCCAGATATAAAATATATGTCCAATAGCCACGTCCCCATTTAACCACCTCCAGCCATACCCACCCACCTCCATTCACCACTCAGTTAATCCCATTAGGGATTAATTCACAACACAATCCTTTCTCCTCTGAACCTTCTTGCATTGTCTTACATGTARGCTTTCGGGGGATACCTCACATCCAAACCATAATACTTAATATCAACTATAAATAGATAAAACCATCCTCAAGAATAATATTAAAAAGCAATAAAAAACTAAATGTAAGAAAAACATTAAAGTACAAACTCTGTTTTCAGCTTTTAAATAAAAAAATCTATCAGATTCCATATTGATTCCATGTTAATATTGCTTTGCTACTTCTTTCAAAGTCTTGAGTATAGGCTGGCCTGTTTTTTTCCTTGGTTTTAAAGTAGAAAAGTCTCTGATTTCTGAGATAATTCAGTCTTCAGTCTTCCTGATGTCAGCTCAAAAAAAAAATCATATATTTTTGATTCTACCTTTATTTTTTCTCCTATTTGATGCTTTTTTTTGCACTTTAATTTTCCTCTTTTATAACCCCATATCTTATACCTAATCTYTAGTCTAAAACACCTTCATGAGCTGGGGTTGTGGCTCAGCAGTAGAGCATTTGCCTAGCRTGTGCAAGGTGCTGGGTTCGATCCTCAGCATCACATAGAAATAATAAAATAAAGGTATTGTGTCCAACTACAAATACACACACACACACACACATATATGTACATACACCTTCATAATCTTTGCTTGTATTCAACCATATAGCTTTTTCTTTCATCTTTATGATAAAATGAAAGCAATGTAGTTGTTCTAACTTATAAAGCACCATGATAACAAACTTTAAGCTGTATATTTTAAGAGCAGAATTAACAAAATCTGAAGATAATTGAATATTATCTTGTCACATTGTGTKCTTTTATATATTTATATGATTTTAAATTTATATGTGCTAGTATCATCCTAGAAAATTTCTCTTGCTTTCAAGTAGATATAAAGAAAAAAAGTTTGTTAATATTTTTCWATACTTATATGGTTTTGGTGTCACTTGACTTTGGGTCCAGAACCTTAGCTTCCTCAGCCATGTAATAGTCCTTAACTTTAAAAGAACTTCAGATATGTATGTGATCATGAATTATGTCATATTTTTATCTATTTTATATAATATTTCTAAGTTTCTTTTTTAACTCTTAAGAACTTTTGGAATTTATAAATTGAGAAAATAGAAATTAAAATTAAAATATGTGGTAATAGTTTTCTCTGCTTTTCAAGAGAATTATTATTTTCAGCTACATTTCCTGCACATATAATATGCATGAAAAAACTTACTTGCTATTTATGAGAACACAGTACATTTTTTCCCTTCTGCATTCCTGGCTTACTTTTTAATTTGAAAGACTTCAATATTTTTAATGAATTTTCTCTCTCTTGAAATGTTACAAGTAGATGGAAGATAGTGTCTTGACATTGAATTGTGTGTCTTGACATTGAATTGTGAAAGAACTCATTTTGAAAGAGAAATTATTTTTCATTTATAGATTGAAAAAAAAGTATTTTTATTATAAGTAACAGTGTATTGCAAAGCAGTGGACTACATGCTAATACATAAAACTGTCTCTTGCCATTATCAATTTATAAAACATGTCTGAAGTGCTTATTGTACCATCTAGGATTGTCAGTTCTTTGCAATCTAAATATGGCATTGCCTGCTTTTGGAAGAGAGAAAGCTTTAGACACCCATAATACATGAAAAAAAGAAAAATAATGAAAATGTAAAAACCTAAATCATAAGAAATTTCTCTTTGAGGACTCTGCTACTAGAGAATGACAAACTAGAGTTATTTCTAGCTTTCACATAGTTGTTTTTGTTTCGATTTTGGTCATCATTGTTAGTGATATGATTTCTTTTAACCTAGACATTACTGTTGTTCTGTTCTCAAGGAGAGTATCTCCCATGCTGTCCCTTTAACCTTTTATTTTTAATGTGCCAGAGGGGCTTCCTTATGTTGTTTACTCTTTGCCATAGATAGCATGATAAACTTGCCAAGTTGCAAACATAGTGGAATGCTATTCTTATGAATGCAGGAGAATGTAATTCTGTACATTTAGGCAACAAAACTATCCTTAGAAGCAGACTTTTGGTCAACTTAGAAAAAAAGGGCAAAAGAGGTATATGCATATTCATAGTCTCCCTGTTGCAGTCATCTTAGTTGAAAAGCTGTGCTTTTAGGGAAGAAAGAATGAACAGAGTGTTAGATTAGAGAGCTCACATTTGGATAATGAAGAACTTTACTGAGGCCTAAGGATGTCACATACTAAGCAACTCTGGTCTCAAATTTTCCTTTTAGAGAAGGTGATAAGCCTCTAGCTAATGGGCCTTTCTTATTTGTATAAAATAGATAATCATATACTTTCTGTGCATCTTGATTGTTGCTTGATTAAAAATGTTACAGACTCTAAGATGGACAGCATTTATTTGAAGCCATCAGCCCAAATAAGCAAATAGAGCTGATTTTCGTCATCTAATTATGTTTTTCTAAAACACACAGTTTGCAACAAAAAGTAGAAAGATGTCTTGAAGATGGAATCCGCCTTCCCATGTTGGATGCAAAACAGCTTCAGAATGAAAATGATAATCTGAGGGAACAGAATGAGGCTGCTTGTAAGGTCAGTAGATGCGTTTTATAGTAAACATGAAATCAGTACTATGTGAGTATGGGTATATAGATATGTAATTTATAGCCATTTTTTGTGAGTTGTGATTATGTTGATATTTAAATAGCTTATAAAATTTTGAGTTTGAATGTTTGTATTTGGAAAGAAAATAACCATTTAAGCAAGTGTAAAAATTTAATTGAAATAAATGACAAAGCAAAGATTATCTTTTTCTTTACTAAACTGTTCAAAGTGTGTCTCAAAGTTATTTTTATAAGTTGCATAGAGAAGAGTTTTATTGAACTACAGGAAGACTTTTGTCATTTAAATATGTGTGATCTAAGTCATATTGTTGTTTAAAGGATACTTATTATGAAAACTTTTGTAAAATTTATAAAGACACCTTTTAAACAAATTTATAATTTCCTGTGCCTTTCTTTGTTTCATCTTGAAATACTGGCACTTTTAAAAAGCGGTGTGGGAAAAAATGAGTTTATTCACTAAGACTGATTTATTTCCTGTGTTTTAGATAATAGACAACCAACAAGATGAAATTAACAGAATGATTCTAGAAATTCAGGTAAGGAATATTTTATATTATTTTAATTTAGCTACATGCTGACCTAAAAGTATTAAAACATACATGTGTTTGTATGAAAAGATAATGTGTTTGAGGTAAAGTTAAATCTTTTTTAATATTAATCTTTTTTTCTCTTATTTTTATTTTTATTTTGCATTACAATTCTTAATACACCTTTATACCACAATTTATCATATCTCTGATTGTATATAAGGTATGTTGACACCAAATTCATACCTTAAATATTAATCTTTTAGTTTTTTAGAAAGAAATTTTTATTTAATAAATCAGTTTTTCCAAAATTGTTCTCTGTTCCTCATGTCTTCCTCTCTTTTTATTTGGATGTAGTATATCTCCACGACTTTAAACATATTTAATTTAGATCATCATAATCAAGTAGTTACAACCATGAACTGTTTTTGTCCAATTATTTGATCTTCATACATTATTTCTACCTGAAAAGGCATACAGAGCCCCATTCTGTCTATCTTATGCTCTTTATCTCCATCAGATTTTCTTCAGAGTTTTATAATGAACTGCYTTTCTCTGCCCCATCCTTTAAATATTGTTAATCCTGCAAGCATTTCTGTGTCTACTCCCTGGTATTCCATTAATACTGCCTAATGTTTTTATTATTCTCTCTTATTCTAATTGGCTTTCCTTATTTTCTAATTACACTCTCCATCACTATTGTCTCRGCCCTGTGATGCTGTTTATTGTGATGCATCTCAAGTACAAAGATAATCTGGTAACTCTTATCTGTGGAATATCTCTATTATCTGTGGTCAAAACACTAAATTCTAAGCATCAACACAAAATCAACCTTCATATTGCCTCTCTAACTGCCTACCCTCAGTATTCATACCATTCATATGCACATACATATGATGACTCAGTAAATCTTAGTTCTTATATAGTTTCCTGAGAGTGTGTCCTTTTTGGTATGCTCATCTGGCAAATATCTACTCAACTTTCAGGATTCTGCAGAGCATTATTTTATAAAACCTTGACAGATTTTTGCTACCTCTTAGGTAGCACTGCCTGCTCTCTGTTTAACTTTTGCTCCCCTTCCTAATAATTTTATATATTACTATTTCTACAGTATCAAACTATAACACTTTATTTACATATTTTAATCTTTTTTTTATTAGTTGCTCAAGACAGTACAATGATCTTGACATATCATACATTTGATTCAAATGGGGTATGAATTCTCATTTTTCCACGTGTACAGATTGCAGGATCACATTGGTTATACATCCACGTGTATACATACAGCAGTCCTAACCTTCTAGGTTTCTTGAGAATGGAGGCTGTGGTAGCTCATCTGGAGATTTTGACCTTATCAGAATGCCTGACACATAATACACAGGTCCCAAAATTTGGAGACTAAAAGGATTTTCATTCTTTTACTCATTTGCCATGTATTTACTGAGCTACTGTAACCTATTTTCCAGGCATAGTTCTTGTCATATGTGATTCATCAGTGAACAAAACAATTCTAGTGGGAAGAGTTGGAAAAATGGAAAATGAATGTCACAGGCTATTAAAGCTTTTTCTGTTAAAAACTTGCTATTTAATGGACTGGGGATGTGGCTCAGTGGTAGGCCTGTCATGCATAAGGCCTTAGTTCAAACCCTAGCACTGAGAAGGAAAAAGAAAGTATTTTTTTTTTAATTAAGTAGACTAGAAGGCAGTGACAGAAAGTGCTGCATTTCATAATGTGGTCATATAGTTTTTCCAAAAGAGGAAATATTTGAATATATCCAGGGGGATAGCATGCTAGACAAAGAGAGCAACAAATGTTCTCAATGTTGCCTAGTGTGCTTGCTTCAAGACCAGCAAGAAGGCTGTGAGCCTGGAGTGCAGGGATAGAGGCAGAGAGATGAGAGGTAATGCTGAAAAGTAACCTGAACCAGATCATGTGGGACATATTTATATTTTAATCTGAGTGTGATGAAAAGTCTTTGGGTAGATTTTATGGAGTAAATTTTTAGTTTTATACCTTATAATTCTATTATTCTTTTTTTTCTTCTTCTTTTTTTTTTTTTTGGCAGGAAGGGAGGGGAGCTCCCGGGTGTTAAGCTCAGGGGCACTTGACCACTGACACACATCTCCTGCCCTAGTTTGAATTTTATTTAAGAGTCAGGGTCTCACTGAACTGTTTAGCACCTTGCTCTGTGTGTGTGTGTGTGTGTGCGTGTGTGTGTGTGTGTGTGTCTGTGGTGCTGGGGATTGAACCAAGGGCCTTGTGCATGTGAGGCAAGCATTCTATCAACTGAGCTGTATCCTCAGCCCCAGCACCTTGCTTTTGCTAAAGCTGGTTTTGAACTTGAGATCCTCCTGTCTCAGCCTCTTGAGCCGCTGGGACATAGCACCCAGCTTATAATTCTAAAACTCTTTAAATGAAAGTAAAAAAGGTAAATGATTTGCATGTCAGAAATACATATAGTCTTCTTTGATTGTCTTTTAATAGTACTACATGATTATCAATTTAATTAAACATCAGTCCAGTTCAACAAATATATGATGAGCCCAATGGACTAATTTACAGAGGTTATGACCTTTATTTCATAGTCTTAAAAACTGTAGCTTCAAATTTTCCATAAGCCATTAGAATCACAAGATTGTTAGGTTCTCTCAATCATAGTTATCTGACTTCTTATAGTACATAAAGAAATTAATTTCTACGTCATTATGGTAATATTTTCCAAGAAGTAGATCTAATAAAAGTTATCTAAATTAGGAAAAATCAACACATAAACCTTGGCAGGAAACTTGGATCAAAAGACTGGTAAGATTATGTTGGTCACATACTATCCCCTTATGTTATAGTGTTCAGTATATGTTTGTATTAATTCAAATGTTTTATTATCTCATTTGTGGAGGTATTTTAATGTAATTACTCCCATATATTGTCTTTGGTAACATGTATGTCATGATTATTTGCAATTAATATGTAGAACAATATGTAATTTTATGCCATTGAATCTTTGATTATAAAATGTTTGAGCAATCATTCTTTTATTTCTTCAAACTACTTATAGAATTGAAATCAAATTAATGAGTACATTTATTTCCAAATATTTGAGCCCAAAAATATACTCATTAATTCTGTTGTCTTATTATTTGGAAAATAGCTTTTTCTTTTCTCTTTCTCAATCTATCTACCTACCTATCTATTTACCTATCTATCTATCTATYTATTTATTTATTTATTTTTACCTTACCAGTTCATTTATCCATTTTGACCATGTAGGCCTATAGATGATAATTTTCTTTCTTTTGAATTGTTTATTTGTCCTTTTTAGTTATACATGACAGTAGAATATATTTTGATGTATCATATATATGTAGAGTATAACTCCCCATTTTTGTCATTGTACATGATGTGGAGTTAACTGGTCATTTATTCATATATGTACAAGGAAAATCATGTTCACTAGATGATAGAATTCTTATAGACACAGACAATAACATTGATTATGTGATAGCTATATTTTTCAAGATATGATTTAAATGACAAATTATAGATGGTGACAATTATGACTCACATCTCTTTCCTTAATTTTATTTATTTAAATTCATGGGGKTTTTTTGGCCCCTCATAATTGAATAAACTAGGTTTTTGTTTGTGTTTTTACTTATGACCTTTTATAAACATTTTATAAACTTTGTAAAAACCTGAAAAAAAATGAACACTAATTATTTCTCAGGCATTTCAAGTTCTAAAAAGAGCACTTTGACTTGAAAAAGATTTATTGTGTTGCACTGTTGTTAATGAGCATAATTAATAGGCATAGTATCAAGTTGGTAATCTCCTAGAGTAGTTGCCTTTAGTAGCTAATTGTTAAAACTGCCTCAGTTTTCCTCATCTGTCTACTTAAAGGATGGCGTACCTCATACCTATGTAGATTATGATGTCTTTCCCATGTGCTTTACTGCTGATTTTTAATTTCTTCAAATTCCTATATATAACAAAATACTATGTAATTAATAATAGCAGAGAGCTTTTATGTTATTTTTAATATAAATTATGCATTTAGGTATCCCTGCAGTATTAAATTCATTGTAAAATTTCACTGCCATTATAGTTTGAATGATCTTTCTTTCTAACGGTAGTTGGACATTGTTCCATTTTAGAGTGTTTAGTGAACAAAGATAGCAGGTGTTCTTGTTTTGCCTGTGTACAAGTATGCGTGTATGTGTGCATGTGCGGGTGTTTTACTGGAGATTGAACCGAGAGGCATTCTACCACTGAGTTACATCCCAGCCTTTTCATTTATTTAAGACAGGGTCTCCTCTTGCTAAATGCCCCAGGCTGGTCTTGAACTTGTGATCGTCTTGCATCAGCCTCCTGAGTTGCTAGGATTATAATCATGTGCCATAGTGCCCAGCTACATAGATTTGAGTTTTGCTTTTTACTGCTTCTTTGTGCCCCTGTAAACTACTAAGACCTGATTTGTTCAGTGATCATTTTACTGATTTGGAGTACTGCATTGCTTTGGGTATTAGGAAGTTGTTCTCAGCAGTTTAAATTTAATCTCAAAAGGGAAAAATAAAATCCCATGCTATGTATATTTTATGTCCAATTTTGTAGGAGATTAAAAAATGAGACATTGTTTCATAGTGAAAATTCTGTGTTTAAAGTATAGCTATAGTTTACTACCTCATATCAGATCAAATGAATACTYAATCTGGTATAGATTACAGACAAGTTTGATTGACAGCTTTGTAATTTGGGGAAAAATTGGTCTCCTACCAGTAATACTAAATTTGTTGTTGAATATATAAAAAGTMATTTTTTATATAGAAGTATATGCTAAATTTGAAATTGAATTGAGTGTTATAAAATACAAATTTATGTACTATTTTTTCATCATTGAGATAATTGTTAACAGGCATGAATACTTTATTTACTCACTGATCTTTTAGAAATTGTGCCTTTATGTTCTTGAAACTAGTATAGCTAAACTGGCTTCTTCTCCTAAAGGCTTTTT